TATATATATATATATATATATATATATATGGTAAACAATTACCCTAAGTTTCTAGACCGATCTTAAATCCTAAAGTCAAAAGGCCTCCGGTATAAAAGAGAGATGGCTGTATTTAGCCTGACAACTCAAGCAAAGACTACACTTGTGATTTAAGATCGATATGTCGGTGTTAGACGGTCTATGTCCAGCAGGAATAACACAAACAGCAGATGTACATGCGCTAAAGTGGACAGACAGGGAGACAGAACAGCGCCTCCAACATGTCTGGCGCTGAGCTAGGCGCTGTTAAGTCTGCCAAAAAGTAGGCTATATATCTAATTGAAAGTTATTAAAAAGTATGACGTTTAGGGTACATAACATGACAGCTTTTAATTCGTAGTTTCAGTAATGTGTTTGCTATTGTTGTTTTTTCTTCTTGTGTTGCGGGACCTGTTTTAAATGTTATTTAATTAATCTCCAAAAAGGCGCCACTATCCTTAAAATGTTCGTAGGCGCTCCCCCTGATCCGGCACCACCCACCTAAGTACATTTGCTAATATTAAGGAAGAGAACCTAATTTTTAAATAAATTGGCCTGTAGTTAGTTGGGAAATGAATGTTACCTTGTTTGGGAAAAAAACATGTTTCCCACTGGGATGTTGACCAAGCTGTTAATTTTTATACATAGGCTTCGACCAATCGTTGACTATCTACTGGTCACGTGATCACATCATTAAAGTTAGAACAATTGAAATTTACAGTTAAACTGTCGTATTTTTACAAAACTCCAGCATATAAAAAGATACCAGTTTAGTTCAGATTGTTTCCTCCCCACGACTGATTGGATGGAAAAACAAAATTGCCAAGCATTTAAAAAGAGACGAGTAAATTACATCCAGTTTGACCAAAAACTAGACCAGTATCATGGCGCCGTTAGACAGACAAAACAATGTCTGACATTTACAATGCAGTTGGTTATCTGACCTGTCCTGGCCAATGGGATATCACGATTTCTAAACCACGCCCTGGATTTGAAGCTAAGGAAACAGTGCTATGCTACGCCCTGGCTGTGTACTTGTAACGTACATAGTTGTGTACATGTGACATCCATGTTAGTGTACTTGTAACATCCATGTTCGTGTAATGTAACGTTCGTGTTAGTGTAATGTTACATACATGTTAGTGTAATGTAACATCCATATTAGTATAATGCAACATCCATGTTAGTGTAACATGCACACACTAGCATTGACGTTTAAGATACCCAATTAGGGGCCCCTCAAAATCAGTGCCAATCTCCAACTCAAAATAAAACAATTACAAATAACCTTTAATAAATACATTTGGCGTTAATTGGTCCCATCCCCTTCTCCCTTCCCGCCACAGCACACCAGTGGCGTAGCCAGGATCGTCTCAAGGAGGGGGGGGTTCCAATTTTTACCCGGGGACAAACGGACAAACTTTCGATTTGCACCCCCCCCCCCCCCTCAAACTTTCGATTTGCACCCCCCCCCTTCATACTTTTTATATATATACCGAGGGGTCTATGGGGGGGGGTTATGACCACCCTACCCACCCCCCCCCCCCGTCTACGCCACTGCAGCACACTCTCGAGGTCCGGTGGAACTGTTAGAATGCCAATGTGCGAACGTTATTTGGCTGTCAAATGTGGAGCAACGAGTCACATAAGGGATAAATCATTAAAATTTGAAGTTTTGTCTATCTCTTACACTACAGTTTGAGTAATTGTTTTTAATGCTTGTGACGAGCGTGGTATAGTGACAGTGGCGTACTTAGGATTTTCGGGCCCCTATGCAAAAAATACCAGTAGGTCCCTTGTCAACCGTTAGGCTACAACGGAGTGAAACGAAGAAATCAGAAGCAATTAAGCGTATAATACTCGACTAGTGTTAAATTATTTTTTTATGTTCGAATTTGGTCACTAGAATAATTCAGAACAAGATGGCGACGATAGTGTAGGATATCGAGCAATAGCATGGGACACAGAACCACAACATGAAACATACCGCAGTTGTATGTAGCACACAACTCGGGTAGAGCGATTGTCAGGATTTCATCAAGTCATTGTCTTTCACATAGTTTGACTATCTTTCACTCTGTAGCAGATCAGTGGATTGTATGATTTTTAAAAGAAGAGAAAAATTCTAATTGAAACAATCGTGTAGCTCCAACGACTCGATGTAATATCTTCTTGCCTCTCCAGGTGAGGTTCTAGATGTTGTAAAGATGGTACAGGCTCGATCCAACGAGCCATGACTCTGTCAGCAAGGAAAGAATTGATTGTAACTGTTTGACAACAGAAAGTTTGATTCTACGGGGGCGTGCTGCATCAATGACAATGGTGGACAATTAGATGGTTGGTCACTGCACAAGTTTAACAGACTGCAAAGTTTAAACTGTATAGGCTTGCTACAACAAGGACAAGAGTGGACCATTAGACAGCTGGTCACTGCACAAGTTTAACAGACTGCAAAGTTTAAACTGTATGGGTTTGTTGCAACTCTGCAACAAGGGGCAGACGGCAGACATAAACTACTCTACTCTACTACACCATAAATTATTTCACTGAACAAACTTCAAGATACGACGGATTCCCAAATCTATTTTTAAAACCTTATCAACGACAGGCGCCATTTTCTTAACCATAATGACCATTTATAATGTTGTTTAATGTAAAAAAAATTCATTTTGCAGGGTTTTTTTTATTATTTTATGGCCTATATATAAAACATTATAGATAGGCTGACCTAACTGTGACTTTCTAAACATAGACAAGCTCCAAGATGGCCGACCACCTTATCATTCTGCATTTAACAATCGATACAGTTTCTACCTGCGCGAGCATGTCGTGTCCTACAACAGGGCTAGATAAACAATATTTTTAAAAAAGCTATGCCACGTACATGTCGCCCACACCAGTGGCGTGGACGCCTATGTAGGTGCCCTGGGACAACTCAATGGGAAGATATATATATATATATATATATATATATATATATATATATATATATATATATATATATATATATATATATATATATATATATATATATATATATATATATATATATATAAGCTTGATTACAAACACATGGTGACCAAAAAGATGCGCAATGGAAAAAAGCGCAAACATAAAACCCGCAACAGAAAAAAGCGCAAACAGAAAGAGGCGCAAATAGCAAAAGCGCACACGGAAATAATTACAAACAGAAAAATGCGCACACAGAAAAAAAGCGCAAACGGAAATTTGCGCACACAGAAAAATGCGCAAAGAGAAATTTTAGCACAAAGACCTATAGGGACTAGATGACACATGTATACATGATTGTTAGGGCTGCTGTGACAGGTTGTATTTGACAAGACGTGATCTACTACCATTTAAAGAAGAACTAATATTCTCATCACAACGATACAGGCGATAATCGCTTGACACAATGCCTATTATTTTCTTGTTCAATATTTATTCAACAACTATTCTCGTTTAAATAAGCATAAAACTATCCTTGATATCGGTATTACACGGAGTATCTCTTACATTAACCCTAGTCCGAACTCCCTAGCTTGCATACCATAACAACCCGTTCCTATCGCAAAGCTTCACTTTCTTTCATCCGCTTCATCAAATATGCATTAGTTAGATCTCTCGCAATAACATTCATTCGCACCGAAATACCCTGATAAAACACACATCATAATGATGTATTTAATCTTATTTCATCAAGACGCACCTACCTACCTACCTACCTACCTACCTACCTACCTACCTACCTACCTACCTACCTACCTACCTACCTATCTACCTACCTACCTACCTACCTACCTACCTACCTACCTACCTACCTACCTACCTACCTACCTACCTACCTACCTACCTACCTACCTACCTACCTACCTACCTACCTATCTACCTACCTACCTACCTACCTACCTACCTACCTACCTACCTACCTACCTACCTACCTACCTACCTGCCTACCTGCCTGCCTACCTACCTACCTGCCTACCTGCCTGCCTGCTTGCCTACCTACCTGCCTAACTACCTACCTGCCTACCTACCTACCTACCTACCTACCTACCTCATATACATATATATATGCATATATATATATATATATATATATATATATATATATATATATATATATATATATATATATATATATATATATATATATATATATACGGGTTGGTAGGTAGGTAAATGGGTAGGTGAATAGGTAGGTTGTTATGTGGGTGCGTTAGGTAGGTGGTTGAATGTTTGTGTAGATTATATAGATTATGCACATTTCCATTTTACTCCATTTTTTGTCTGGCCAGTACAATGCATCGGCTTCTTCAGGCTAGTCTGGGATCGAAGTAACAACTCCTAGTTAGCAAAGCGCAGTCTTTGCTCAACGTGTTTAATACCTTCGCTCTAAAATTATTTATTCATTTAGGTCACAGCTTGATTTTGAGCGTGTTATCAAGATAGCTCCGCTTTACCTCGGGAAACAATTCCTTTCACATTACCGAGTGAAAGCTCCCCCCCCCCCCCCACCTCCCAGAGGCGTAGCGACCGGCGCCCGGGGCGAAATTTCAATTAAGGTTGAAAAGAGTTTAAAAAGTATGTAAAGGCTTGTAGCCATTACATTTTTAACTTAGACTGTATATAATTAAAAAGAGTAGCACAAAATCAGCTTTAAAATTATGTTCCCCCTTTTGCTCCCCTTAGGGTAGGCACCCTTGCCGGCAGCCCTCCCCACCCCTCCCTTCTCCCCCCCCCCCCCCGCACCCTCCTAGCTACGCCTCTGGGCATGTCACCTTCCCAGCTCTGGGGGCTCCAGACACCAGGAACGAGCCACGACATGAAAACGTGATCCAATCCAGGTATGACTAAGTGTACATAAAACCCAAATAAAACCAAAGCTAAGAAAATTTACAAACATTAAAACACACACAAAGCCAAATCTGAGCTGCAGTTCTAGCCTGACAATTTGAAAACCAGCCAGCAATAAATCCTGCACGACGTTTAAGTTGGCGAGATCCCATCGACACAACTAGGCGAAGAAACATGCAATTTATGACCAGAATGACAATAAACTCTCCGCGCATGCAGACACGTTCCCATTCTCTTTGCTGTCTCGCCGGGCGTTAAGTTGGCGAACTTCAGATAAAGTATATATCTGCTTTTCTTTATCACAATTTTTCGTGTTATTTGATAGTAATTGAAATGATTGTCTTGCATAAATTTTGTAATTAGTTATTGTTTATAATTAAAATAAATTTTGTCTTCGTTTTCCAGGAAAGTTAAACATACAAGGAAAGTTAAAGCTTTGCTTTATTGGAACTTGCAAGTTTTATATTTTTCTGAACCCGCTTTGTTAAAGCAAGAAGTCTCAGGATGGAGAAGAAAGAAGAAGAACAAGGAGGCCGCCAGAGCTGCATCCAGGCCAGGCATTTCACGATCTGCCGCTCGAATTCCAGCGTGAGCAGCCGTTGCTCAGGACATTACTCCCACAGGCACAGCAGCGCCAATTACCGCAACTCCATCTCCTCCGGGGTCTACCAGCAGCTGTCCAGCTCTGGAATACTCGACTTAAAGGACAACCGCGAGAAGGAAAAACGTGAGATGCAGAACCTGAACGAGCGTCTGGCAGACTACATCCAGAAGGTCCACTTTCAACAGGCTAGAATCAATAACCTCGAGGCTGAGAACGACGCTCTGCGCAGCAGGAAAAGCCAAGATTTTAAACCCATTTGGGACGACTACGACAACGAGCTCCAACAGGCACATAAAGTCCTCCTAGAGCTACGCGGTTCCGATGGGGAAAGTAAGGTCAAGGTGATCGGCCTGGAGGATGAGATCGCATCCCAGCGCGAAATGTAGGTGACATTTACTTACACTCTAAACTTCTGGTGATGCAATTTAAGTAAAATATTCTTGTTTCTCCATTCTCAATTATGCTCACTACTTTTTACATCCATAAATCATTTGTCTCCCCTATTGTAGATTTATCAAATTATCTAACCTTGTCTTGTCCAAGTTCCATAGCTCCCATAGTTTAAAAAATCAGCTTGTAAATTTCCATCAGTAGAAGCAGACTTTATAACATATTTACCATAGTACAGCATACTATAAACTTGCGTGCGTTTAAAAATAAATTGCCTCCCCATAAAGGTAAACTAGCGCCCACAAAGTTCTGTCGATGTTTGCTGTTACGGACATAATTCCCTATTAAACCAGTCTAGCTCTTTAGCAAAGATCCAACCTCTCCCTCCCTCTCACAACTTACAACACTAGCACAACAAAGACACAACCACCTTCTTACAACAAAGCCAAGATAAACCTCCCAATGACAACAAATATGCAGCCTTTCTGTTACCATAAATTACTAGTTTAAATGTATACTGATTTTTATAAAAAGCACTTTACTCTTATAACTTTCAAAAGACCAACTGAGACGGTTACTGAACGATCCGTGACGTCATATACAAGGATCAGTGCAAGTCAGGCTAAACCCAGACTGTTTAAATTATACCCTTAGTCTTAAGTAGTCTAAAATGAAACAAAAAGCTTATCAATTTATAAAATAACACTAAAAATAGTTAAAACACTTTATAACAAGAAAAACTGAAAGTGAAAAACACCAAATCGGACTACGAACAAACCTAAAAAGACTACTTACGTGAAAATCATATAAATAGTAAAGTGGTTCTATACAAATATGTAAATACTAGCTGCATTTGAAATGAACCAACTTGGGAAAAGAACAAAACTAAACACAAACAAAACAAAAACACAAACTCAAACACAACATAACACAAACACAAGCACAAACACAATGCAAACACAAAAGAAAACAGAAACACATACGAAAACACAAACGCAACACACAAACTCAAAAGAAAAAACAAACGCAAATAAAAACAAATGAAAACACAAACACAATGCAAACACAAAAGCAAACGCAAAAAAAACCAAAGCACAAAAACAATACTCATAATATAAACACAGCTTAAATGCAAAGATAAACGCATGGTGCTCACAATGTAGCCCGTGGCGCCAAATCGCACCCTGACCGAACGCTGGCGGAAGCGCCTGATTCAATTAAATGAACGAATAATCCGAATATAAAAAAAACAGCTTGTCCACAAACCGAAAGATAGAAACAATAATTAGTATACAGTTCGTTCAGTGTATAAAATAAATAAAAGATTGCCTTTTATCAATCCATGCTAATTATAATATTCTAACAATAATATACTCTTACACATCAACATATATTGCATTCACATTTTGCTAATTATATTATTCTCTACCTTCTGTTAAATTTTGAGTAATTTACGTTGACCGGAAGTAGTAATTTACGCTACTTCCGATTTCTCAAAAAATTTATACAGTACTAATAATATTGCGCACTATTATGCACATTTTGTTTTTGGCGTTCGCTTGGTGCGCAATTCTTTTTTCTATGAGATTCTTTTTTTTTTTTTTAAAGTTTAAGTAATTAAAAATCATGTCTATATTCCAAGTTATACAAGAATATTCGAGAAAGTTTAGGGGAGACTACTCCCGGTTTATTTTTTATTAGCATGAGTTGAATTTATTTTTAAATTACCTCCCTTGGAAAATTACAAAACAGTTTAATTCGTTTTTTCGACCCTTTTATTATTAAAATGTATCCACTTTTTCTAGGAATCTAAACGAAAATGATATTTGACATTGATCCGTTTACTATGTATTAGCAATGTGTTTGTGTATTTAATATTTTTTTTACGTTACGCAAAACAGTAAAAACAGTGACAACTATAACATAAATTTCAGTCGTTATATAAACAAACCCTACTCTATTACTAATAATAAGACAATGCGATGTACTGAAAAGCACTGCATGGTGCGATGTTTACTATAATGGTTCCAAAACCTATAGCGATGACACGAGGAAGGAAGGAAGGAAGGAAGTAAGGACTGACACACTAAATGCCCGCTTATATTATAGATATAGCGACACATGAGTGAAAAAAGGATATATATGCAAGATCTAATTTAAGAAATGAACAAGTCTGAAACAAGTTGAACATTCACGCTAGGGGTGACAAGACCCAATCTTTATTAGCAGCACACATAAAAAAGACCATGACTAAAATTGATCCAAAGTTTACAGTTTTGCAAATTTATATATCATTTTGTCATTTTCAAAAGATCAGAAAATCCGCTGTATGTGTAGAATTTTAAAATGCATATTAATGTAGAAAATATTGTTTTTTATTTTTCTGAAATCATCGATGTTTAATCTTGTCTAAACACTGTCAAACAGATTATTTTAGTCAATATATCTTACAATTTATTAAAACAGCTCTCTAAATGTTGAAATTACGGTTAAAATTCGTATTATAATATTTCTTTTTTATAATGCAAAAGTGTGACGTCACACCAACTGAACCCCCCCCCCCCCCCCCCCTAATTACACACCTTGACAAAATTGTAAGCACCAAAATAAGTTTTTGGATAAAATTAACTTTTGGCGGGTTATGTATTCTAAACATGTATAGTATACATGTCGCAAGTGTAAACGTTGTGTAACACTCTAACAGCACTAGGAGACTGATCAAGATTGACACTTAATCTTCCTGTTGAATCTAATAGTCAAAAGTTACTTTTCCTAAATTTTTTCAACAATTTCGATTGGTCATTCTTTCTTTTTTTTTCTTGGCCTTCTGTTGACAAAATATATTATTCTTACGCTCTGTTGACTAATTGGGAAAAAAAACTCATTACTTTAAAAAAAATCTATGACAAACTCTAAATAGTTTTATTTAATATTACGACCTGACAAAGATTTTACTTTTTATGCCTATTCATAAAATTTGGTGTTTTAAATTAAACGGAGATGATCTCGTGAATTTTTTTTTATAAAAATGAAAGTGGTGCCATCATTCAGTTTCTCTGCCTTGTCAATCTTTTGAGCAGAACAAAAGCAACATTAATCAATACTAATTAGACAGATGGTGGCGCCCTCAGGAATAAAGTCTCGAGTAATGTATGAGGACGTTTGACATCATATCAAGACAGGGGGAAATGTCGTATTCTGGAATATTCTATTTACGGACTGACCCCGGGCAAAGAGCAAACTTTTCTTTAAACTCTTCTTTAAGTTGTAACTTGTTATGTCCCGAATTGAACAACGAAATTTTGTTTTTTTTTCTAATCTTTGAGTTATTTAACTTGGGCCGTTATTTTTATAAATGTTATTTTTTTTCCAGCATTCTTAAACTAGAGAGCCAAGCTAAAGACTACAGAAAGACGATTGAAACCTACGGAAACAAACTTGGAGAGTGCGAGGGAGAACTCCAGACCCTGAGAAACAGAATTAACTTCCTTGAAGATGAAAATACTAAGATCCGTGAGCTCTTGGAGCAAGCTAAAGCCCATTGCAGACGTCTTCGCTCAGTAAGAAGAGGTCGTCCATTTATGACGTCCACAAAAAAATTGGAATTTTATAAACCACCACCCCCTCCCCGCCCTCACGCGTCCACTTTCGGCACCCAACCCCCCCCCCCCCCACTCCGCCCCTTCACTCCGCCCCCCCCCCAAACACACACACACACACACACAATTTAGTAGACCTCTCGAAATATTACTAATTCATTAACATGTAATGTGTACCTTGCTATATTATTAATTATAACCGAAATAATTAGGTCTAGAAAAAAGTTAGGAATTTGATTTTAGAAATAAAACTTGTCCACGATGACCGTAAGTCTAAAGCGTGTAAACTTCCTGTGAATGTGTCAAGACTAGAGATCTATCTAAAATAAACCGGGAGTGATCTCCCCTAAACTTTCTCGAATCTTCTAATATAAAACTACGAGGAATGGCAACTCAGGACATAGACAATATTTGTAATCCATTTTTAATTACTTAAACTTTTTATAATAGAATGGAATCTCGTAAAAAAAAGAATTACACACCAAGTGAACGCCTAGTAAAATGTGCATAATAGTGCGCAATATTATTAGTACTTTATAAATTTACATGCGTTTTTTGAGAAATCGGAAATAGCGTAAATTAGTACTTCCGGTCAACTGAAATTACTCAAAATTTGAAAGAAGGTAGAGAATTAGATCTTTTACTTACATGTGAAATTTCATTAATCTATCTGAAATAGTACTCAAGTTATAGGCTTTTGAAAAAATTCAAAGTAGAAAAAGTACCTTTTTCGGTTATCGGAAATCGCTCAAAAGTTGATACCGATATACGATTTTGATAAAATACTTATATATGAAATTTCATCAACCTAGCTGTAACGGTACTCAAGTTATCGTGTTTACACACACACACACAGACACGCCGACAGACACACAGACATACGGACAAGATTGCAAAATTATGTTTTTTTCCGTATCAGTGAGGTGTAAAACGTCGAGATTTGTAAAAATCTCGATTTTTTTTTTTGCACGATTACAAGACTTTCTCTATACTTCGTATATACGAGAAAATAAAAAAATTATTGAAATAGTGATCGCGCCTTGACGCTGTGTGGGCCGACCTCTGGATTTTAAAGGCTTTTAATACCCACAACTTTTCATAAAGATAGTCAAAGATTGCAGGCAGTCAAAAAAAAAAAATTTTTTAAATTGTTTTATGTAAATATTTTGTTATAAAAATATTTTGTTATTAAATTCAACATGTGAAAACCCTCCCCCACCACCACTGAGAGTCCACAAGCGTCCGCAAATGTCGATTTTTTTTCACGAACCCCCCTCCCCCTCCTCTGTGTGGACGTCATAAATGGATGACACCCCTCCCCCCCTCCCTCCAAGTCATATTTATGCTTTTTTTTTTAAACTTGTAATATTTTAAAACTCAAGGAAATCAAGAAAAATGTATCAAGAAAAGATTCTACATTAATGTTATACTACAGTATGCAAATCTAAACCACATTTTAATACTTCTGTGACAAAAAAAAAGTAGCCCATCTATTTATTTCCTTAAGATTTTTTTTAAGCTTAGTCTCACATATTTAATAAATTGAATATTTTAAGAAAATATAATTTTTACTTTATCGTATACAGAGCATAGATGATGTATTGTAATCATGCACAAAAGTTAAATGAATTTTCGACAGTTTTTGCAGTTTTACACCTCCCTATTTAGAGGGGTGACACCAAGGCAAAATATTGCAAAATATACAGAAGAAAATGCTTTCTTACCAATTCCATTGATAATTAATTAAAGTTTAATAGTCTTTAAAGTTTACATCGACATTTAATACAAGGGGGTGGGAGTGACACACATTGTTTTTGTTGTTCTTGTTGTTGTTTTGGGGGTGGGGGGTGGGGTGACACCACGGAGTGCCGCACTGGGTGACAACCAACCTAGCGACGCCACTGCTATAAAGTGAAAATTACCCATTTAAAAGTATTTATTAAAAAAACATTTTGTTGCACTTAAAGTGCCACCCCTTAACTGTTATATATGAATTTACGAGAAAGTTTAGGGGAGATCACTCCCACATTATTTTATGCTAAAAACAATGTTTGGACTTTTTTTAGGATCTGGACGTTGAGACAATAGCTCACATTACGGCAGATTGTCTGGCCCAGACCAAAAGTGAAGAGGCTGAGTTCTACAGAGCTCGGATTGAGCAGGTAACTCTTGCTGTCTTTTCTTTGCCAAAAATAATAATAATGAGACGTAAAACCAGGCGTGGACTGGCCAGTTGGTCTACAGGGAACAATCCCGGTGGGCCCCCTGAAAAATCTGGATGGGCCCCCAGGAAAAAAATTCAGTGGAACGGAGATGTAATATTACCAAGGCGTAACATTTAGACATTTAAAGAAAAAAAAAGAACAATAAAAAAGTTAATGTGGGTTTGGGGCAGTGGCGTAACAACCATTTAACCAAGGTGGACAAAGTTCGCGGATTCCATAGGTCCAGATTCCACTACGTCCAGGGCCCCCCGAGCTTTTTACTTTGATAAATCGAGTAGTTGGAGGCTCGATATTTATCATTTTATTTCTTTATTTTTGGAAAAAAAATACACTGAATGACATACTGTGAAAAACGGGTCTACGACAAATTCCTGAAAGACCCTTGTCCGAATGCCGTTTGTCCGATGACCGTATTTCCGAATCCACTCTTGCCCAAATGCAACAAATGTCCTAATGGGCACTTGCCCGAATGCGAAAAATTCCCGAAAGGACACTTGCCCGAATGCAACATATGTATGAATTAACACTTGCGACAAATGCATGAAAGACACTTCTCCGAAAAAATAATTACATTATATTTTACCGAATAGTAGTTCTTAATCTTTTAAATTTGAAATTTTGATAATCAATGCATGTCTAAGCAAAAAGAAAAGGACAAAAACATTATATCATTGATTCTAGAGTTTTAAAAAGTTCATTAAAAACGTTTTAATAACAAGCTTTTATGTAATGACGCACTAAAAAGTAGAAAATAATTCATGCACTACTATTTAAATAACTATAAAGAAAAGCGTGGATACATTTTAAATGTTTTAAATTTACAATAGAGTTGCATGACTCAAAACCATGCGCACCTAAAGAGCGTGTTGACGCGTGTCTAGTGCGGAATAGTTTGACGAGACAGCCTACTAATTTGGACACAATTTTAATTCATTCATAAAAAATTAATCAGGCAGCCAATTAAGTCAAATTTAATGTCTTTTTGCATTGTCTTTATGTCTTGTCCCACGTGCCAACGTTGAAACAAAGCTGTCAGTTAGAAGTGCCCGTAATTTTGCTCGGGCGTTTCGATCTAGACTGATGACTAACGACAAACAGAGATAGTGAGTTTATATATATATATATATATATATATATATATATATATATATATATATATATATATATATATATATATTTATATATATATATATATATATATATATATATATATATATATATATATATATATATATATATATATATATATATACTCGATTTAAAAACTTCCGCCAGTCCATCCCAGCTTAAAACTCTTTACAAACAAAATTATTTTGTATGGCCATATTTATACAATTTATTTTTTGCTTTACCCTTAGTTTGAGTTGATGAAGCCTGAACCAATCCTAATCAAGGGCATGGGCTATGTTGACTTCTGGAAATCTGAATTGGCTAAGTGCGTCAGAGAGATCCAGACTACTTTTGACTATAAGGTTGATCAAATGCAACAAGAATGTGAATTTAAATACAGTACTCAAGTAAGTAAACATCATAATAGCTAGGAATCTAAGCCAGAATATTTTTGGCCATTGATCAGTTTAATATATTTTAGCAATATGAATTATTTTTAAAAATTTCATGTTCTTTTTTTTTTTGACTTCAGCGAAAAAGCAGAAACTTTGCCAACTATCTAAAAATTTAAGGCGTTATATAAATAAACACTACTCCAATGCTTATAATGAGACTATGTCATGCAAGTAATGCATGGCATGTGTTTGGTAACTTATAAGTTTCTAGATTCTTAGCGTTGACGGGAGGAAGGATTAGGACACTACCTAGCGGCTTATATTATACATATAGGTCTGGCACATAAAAATCTTAGTCTTAGGTATTTTATTGTTATACATTGCAGTCATTACTATATATAAAACATGATACCATTACTGTTAATCAATTTTGCATTAGCAATAAAACTTAGTTAATGTTCACCTAGTATCAACATTGCTATTATTTTTTTCCAGATTGAGCATCTGCGCTGTGGCTTTGTTAGGGATGACGCGCAATTATCGAAGCTCCAAGAAGAGTGCAAGACACTGAAAAGTCAAATCCAGCAGAAGAATGCTGCTTTTACTGAGGCTACTTCCAAGGTACTTTACAAAGCTATACTTAGCTAATCAAATTTTGTGCTATTTATTCAAAAGTTCACATTTCTCTTTAAATATTTATTTTAATATGGCAGTCCCTGTTGTAAAAAAAATGATTTCTGTTTTATAAAAGTCTACATGAATGTGTCCGTAGATTGTCGCCATCCAAAGTGAGCGTGATGATTTGATTTATCGAATGAGTGAACTAGAGCGCGAGTTCGATGATCTGAGATTCAAGTACAACAGGGACTGCGAGGCCAGGGACGAAGAGCACCAGCGCCACCTTATCCAGATGAATAGCCTTACGGCTACCAATGTCAATTTGGAGATGGAGATTTCAATCTACAAGAAGTTGCTGGAGGGCGAAGAACAAAGGTCAGTTGTTGCGGCATTTTAACTCTCTTTTCCTCTTAGCCTGCACTCACGGGAAACTTCACTTTTTAAAATTTTCTTTAATGAGTTAAATAAATAGTAAATGCATTAAAATATAGTATAGCAGTTTTGGAGTTATGAGACATATTATATATGTTCTTTTTGAACCGTTATTATTGCTGTATCCCAAGTAACAGATTTGAAAAGGATTAAAAGTAAAATTTAACAACGAAGAAACTGGGGGAAAATGTTATAAAAACTATTTTGAATATAAATAAAAACTAGCTGCTCACCAGTAATTAATTAATATAGGCCTATAAAATTTGTATTTTGATGATAAATTGGGGGTAAGAATGTCATAATCTGACTGAAGTATCCCTGACTTGTTCCAGGGTTGGTCTTGTTGGTTCTGGTGTGAGATCTTTCGTTGAACAAGCCATCGGAGTAGAAGGAAAAGAAGCTGCCAATCTAAAGGCTGTCATCCAATCATCGCGTTAGTATGGTACCCAGTTGTGCCGAGAGGCTCCAATGTTCTATACTTCTGTTCTTCAGACTTCTCTTAGAAATTTACAAAAAACAATTTCAATAATTTTAGAGGAAGAAACATTTTCTCCAACTACTATTACTTTAGTAGGTCCAATGAAAACTCCTACTAGACTATAGAAATTTCCAGCAGAACTTTCTCAGAATAATCAAATGCCTCAGCCATTTTTGTGCTAGAAACTATTTTTCCTAATTGAAAGACTGTCATTATGAAAATATTTTTTAATATGTTTAACAACTTATAGTGTTATGGGCATTTCATAATGTTCTATAAATAGAAGTTTGGTGCTTTGTACTTTTCTAACCATTGTAGTTGATCAGTACTTTGTACTTTCTATCATGGGTGCTGGTGTGCTCGGCTCTTGGTTTTGTCCTCACAATTTATTATTATACTTGTTCTTAATATTGTACTATTAATTGTTGTTTTTTTTTATAGTTACTACTATGCTGCTTTCATCTTTATTGCTTCAGACTATTTTCATTTCTCAACTCAAAATTACAAAATTGCACATATTTAATCATTTATATCACTTACATAAACAATTAGATATGGAACGTATTTGTGTATCTACATTTTAAGCATAAAATTGTATTCATAAATTAGTAATCAATATAGATCCAACTCGGTGTCCGGTCAAAAAAAACCTGGACAAAAACCCCATGGACATAAACCCCCAGAAATAAACCCCCTGGACAACCCCCCCCCCCCCCCCCCGCGACATAAACCCCCTGGACAAAAAAAACCCGCGACATAAACCCCCTGGACAAAAACCCCCCGCGATATAAACCCCCGGATAATAACCCCCGGACTGAAAAGTAAAGGCGACTGGGCTCAGTGCTGATCACACAATGAAGAGCAATGAACTATACTTTATTTGCCCGATAGATCGTCAGGTTTGATAGGGAACTTTACAACTAATCAATGACATGCATTACCTATTTACTATATACCTTTGCAGCACACTTAGAATTTACTTGTTTTAAAATGCATTAACTTTTAATGTACTAGGCTTTTGACTGTGGCAAATATAAGATAACTGTTTACTCGTCTGTGTATTTATTAATCTTAAAATACAACTACGCAACTACATAAACAGATGAGTATATGACATCCCAGCAAGGGAATAACAAGATTTCATACACTGGTCCTATTCGATTTGACTACTTTGATCAAAATGGTGGATATATTGTTATTGAAAACGATACATCTGTTTATGGTGCAAAGGTAATTTTTCTTTCTTGCTGAATTTCAAATGTATTTATTTACACATGACTAAAGCATTTACACAATCTATATACTACTAAAAGTCAAGTTTGTTTACATGTTTGAATATTTATTTGTTTGTTTGTCCGATCGAGTATTGTGATATGTTCTACTCTATCTGGAGAGCTGTAAAATAGTATGTAGGTAGAGAATTATTTTTTAATGCAGACAGACTGTTAATCACAAATTTATTTAAAGACGTTAATTAATTTATTGATTTATTCATACGTAGAGTAACCCTATTTTTTTAAAAGTTTAGAACGACCACTACACTCGGCGGGACCGTGACGTCACAGTTTTTTGTTTACTCTTTAGTACAATAAAATGGCGGCGTCTATCGAAGAAAATTGTGTTCCCATTCAAAAGTTTAACGCGTTCTAAATCTAATTTTCTGTCGGTGATAACTTTAACAATACGTCCGTTTGCTGTATTTATTACGTCCAACACTTATATCAATTTTCAACTGTCTTTTTTCATTTAGTTTTACAATAAATTTCTCTAGATCTAAAGATCAGCTGTCGAAGGAAAGTTATGAATCTAGCCTAGATCTAGATCTAGCCTAGATCTAGGTCACTAGACTCAATGTAAATTCTAGATCTAGACTTAATGTAAATTCTACATCTAGAATCTATTTCAGGCCTTAATACATCTAGAATCTATTTCAGGCCTTAATTATTTTATATAAATCTTTGTTTGGCTAATTTAAGATAAAATTTAATTTGAAAGTTACTACTACTAGACTTAGATCTAGATCTATGCGCGTAAATCAAGTTGCATAAGGAGACTCAAAGTAAAGTATAAAAATTCATTTGTGACGTCACGAGTAAATAGCTAAGTTGGTAGCGTAGTCCGCTCTCATGCGGGTGGCACAGGTTCTAGACCAATATGTCAATAATATTTTTTTTTCAATTTTTTTTTTTAGATGTGAATGATAAAGTTGCCTATCTGAACTTGGCAGGATACAGGGCAGGTGAAGTAGAGTTCATCTGTTTCTTTGTCCTAAGCATATGAAAGGATAGTGTGGTCAGAGACATGCTCGGCTGGAATCGTTTTTAAACGATAAAAACATGTTGTCTGAGACTTGGCGGGACACTGGGCAGGTGAAGTAGAGTTGAGTAGGTCACCTGTGACGTCAGTATATGAAGGGATAGTCCGAAATCGGTGTTTTCGGTGTTTTTAAAAGATAAGAAACATATTTTTGAATGTGGGGTCTGTTTTTTGTGACGATAAGTGACACTGCAGTAGCGTAGCGAGGAGGGGGGGGCGGGAGGGGAGGCGGGGGGGGGGAGGGGAGGCGGGGGGAGGTGGAGGGGGAACATATGTTGGGGCGCCAAAATGGTTTGGAAAAATAAATTGAAAGGTTGAGGGGGGTTCAAATCGAAAGTTTGAGTGGGGGGGAGGGCACATCAAAAGTTTGAGGGGGGGTTGAAAATCGAAATCTTGGGGGGGGGGGGGGGGTTTAAAATCGAAAAGTTTGTCCCCGGGCGCCGGGAAGGGTCGCTATTCCTCTGAGTGACAGACGTGGTGTTTTTTGATGGATGACCCCCCGAAACCCACAGTTATCCAACGGATGACGGGTATTCTAGTTTAGTTCTATTTCTGATGTGTTTTTATTTATTTTTAAACTTTAGAGCCAGAGTTTGAAGGGATGGAAACTGGTAAAGACATCTGGTGGAAAGACCACTTGTGAGGTTGATTTGAAAGATTTTGAACTGACAGCAGGTAGCAAATACACTGTAAGTATATTTTGAATTGTATATAGGCAATAATTGTTTTTAAAAATATCAACAGTTTTCACAGAATGTTATAATTTACCGGGTAATGCAAGCAATATTAGATAAACTAATGATAAACTTTGTGTTTATTTGTCTAGAAATCCAATGATTGGTACACGAACACAAACTAAGACAAAGAAATCTTCATATATTAAAATGTTCTTGTTTGTTGCTCCCAGGTATATGCCAAGGTTCTCAAGGATAGTACAAGACTTGATAACGAACAGATTGCAGATGTTCCCACATTTGGTAGAGAATCCTGTATTTGGAAACTGCTGGATGAAGCTGGCAATGTAAGTTGTAATTCTGTTGTTGTAATTTGGGCCAATAACGTCAAAATAAAATAAAAAGATGCCAGGAATAACAACCTTGATTTTACGACATCAATCATCTCTATATATAATTCTCTACGTGGACACCACCACGCACCCAAGGCGACTACCTGACCCTCCTCCCTACCTCTCTCCAGGCATGCGCATTACACCATATCGCTATCACTCCCACCACCACCAGTCTGATGAGCTGTAGTTCACGACGAATATTTACAATCGTAGAGCCGTCAATTAGTGACGGCTATTAGGGGCACAATTTACTTTTTAAACTATTTGAAACTATGGGGAGGTAACAAGTTCTGCTTGATCTTTTCATTGTCATCTGTAAACTTCTTCACGGACGGCTGATTTAATGGGGCGGAGAGGGTGAGGATAATCATCCTTCACAAGCTACTGATAGTGTTTTAAAGCAAAATATTTTCCGTCGAAGCATTGGTAGTAACGAATTCACAAATTAAGAATTACTGAAAAGTAGAAAACAACTAAATAGCGGCGTATGCTACGCCGCGGTTCGCCTCGTACTAGACGAAAAACCACTGTGCTTTTTAATATAAATAATATTTAAAATATGCTGTTATTCTTTCTTTACTACCTGAAACTTAAAAGAACCTATTTACTGTTTTGCAGGAGAAATCCACTCTGAATGCCAATGTCGTACGTTAAAAAGAGTCAACTTGCTACACCTGACGTGGGAATGTAGACCACTCTTACTTCTCCATTTCCATTTCGTTATTTGGTTGAATGGCAGCATTTACATTTCGAGGGCATGGAGACATGGGGCGGGTTAAGAGAGGGATACTTTTTAGAGTGCAGAAACAATTAGATAACCGATACAGGTGTATTTAGACTTTTAAATTGGAATTTATTTGGTCAAGGCGTATGTTATATAAACTGAACATAAAAACTTGTAAGCAATTGTTTTTAAATAATTTTCAAACTGTTGTACAGACTGATATTTTCATTTTTTTTTTCAAAAATTTTTTATACCTATCTTGCACAAACCATTTTTCTAACAACTTAATAATCACCGATACTTCAAATTTTCAACCTTTTAAGTACGATCATTGATATAATTAAATAATGAACACTGAAATTTTATAATATAGAAAAGATAAAGAATGATAAATGATTCTAGGTTTATGTGTTTTACAGTAAAATGCCTGAATCTGTATTCTGCTGCAGTGAGTGTGATCATGTTTTGTCAATATTCCCAGCAAATGGTTGATTGTGTGCTTCTCCATTTCATGTGATTTTTTTTTAATTCAAAGTTTTCACTCCTCAACTTCAAATTCCATTTTTGCAGAAGTAAATTTGGATAACAAAGATTAACATTCCTATATTTATTTTTTTGTAAATGAAAATACAGTGATGAAAATACAGTTCAATATTGATGTTATCACTAGTTCCAAATAATCAAAGTCCCTTTATTTATGTGTGTATTGATAGGTTTTGTACGACCATGTTAGAAGTAGATTTTATGTAGTACAAAACGTAATTTGTATGCAATGTTGAACCCATTATTACATTACATTATTGCCTGTATACATGAAAAAACAGAATGGGACTATGTGATAAAAATATAAAGATAATGGAACATAAAGATAACTAATTATTTGAGTTGCTGTATTTTAAATTATTACTGTGTAGTAAACTGTAAACTCAGGTTGTGATTTTTTTGGAGTAAGCTCAAAGGCTGTGACCTCGACATTGAACAAGCATGTTTTTAACTACATATTTTTTAAGACAACGATTTAAATTGCCAAGGTGTTTTCCTACATCTGTGCAAGTCTGGTAATTACACACCACAAGATGGTCATGATACACACCACAGACAGTTCTTTGCACGGCTATGTAAATATTTTTATGAATATTTTTTTCTGCATCCAGCTTATGCAGGCAAAACTTAAATTTTATTTGTTTTCTGTTTCCATTTTTAAAAAATATTTTATCAAGCTGCTCTCTTTAAAAAGTAAATGACCCTGACAGTGTCATATATACTTTTTTTAAACATTTCTCTAGTTATATTTTTGTTTGTTTCACATTCACTTTTTTGGCCATCCCAAGTTGAATGTGTATTAGCATTTATTTTCATTACTGTTTTTTTTTTTAATTGTACACATCTAAGGCTTTTGACTGCAGATTGGGAGTGAGAAAGAAAATTCAAGTAGCTTAGACTTCATGGTGCTCTGTGTATAATTAGGGTTGTTTTATTGCTTTCAAATGTAATAAATAAATATATAATAATATATATTCTATTAAATATAATGAGTTGTTTGCTTGGCATTTATGAGATTGTGGGACCTGTAGCCGAATTCAATTACAAGCCAAAGACTGGGAATGTTATTGACATACTCAAACCAGTGTGTATCTCAACTACACTATCAAGAAAAACTAAGCTCAGAATGACTTAAAACATGGAAGGTTACCTTTGTATTAGTAAAATTAAAGTTCCATTTTTGAACCTTGCGGTTCAGGGGGCAAGTGAAGTAAAGTTCACCTGTTTCTGTGACAGTAACATATGAAGGGATACTACTCATGACTGTTCAATCACAATCCAGCACCTACTGTTTGACTTGACACTCAGAAGGGTTGATGTATCCAGATGGTTGGATTTAGGTTAATCCTATTACCACAAGAACTGATCTAAAGATTTGAAAAGTTCCCTTTTCAAACCTGACGGTCTATAGGGCAAGTGAAGTAGAGTTCACTTGTTTCTGTGACCTGGGCATATGAAGAGATAGTGTGGTCAGCACTATGCCCAGCCGCCTTTACTTTCCCTAACGTGAGTTAGCTATCCATCAGAGTTGGGTGGACTCAGGGACGGTCTACTGACTTAAACCCGGATTCGAACTCGAGACATACGGGTTAGCAGTCAAGCTTTCGACCGCTAGACCACTCCGTCCCATGAAGATTTGACAAGGCAGTCTCTAAAACCCGAATTAAAAGTTTTATTTGTGACCTCATCAATTTTTTGTCTGAAATAAACCATCTATATTTACTATAATTGAATTCAGAAAGCTTTTAACTATGATCGAAATTCACACTCATTCATACCAGTGAATCACACCATATGAACTTCAAATATTTATTTAGTATAATTATTTTAATCTAATATATAAAGCTCAATTCTGTATGTTTGTAATAAGTTTGTCGTGGATACTTGGATGGATTTAAGTGTTAGATTATTATAGGTTTTATGGTCTAAATTTATGAGTTAAAAAATTAATACTGAAATTGTTGGGAAATAATTTTCATTTCTCAAACTGATAGTAATAATTGTCGGCATGTTCATTAAACACTATTTTTAAAAATTTTTCATAAAAAACGTTTTAATAACAGGCTTTTATGTAATGATGCACTAAAAGTAGAAAATAAATTATACACTACTATTTAAATTACTATAAAGAAAAGCGTGGGTCACTTTAGTACTTTAGTACCTATTGGATACCTTTACTAATATTTGAGAAGAGACCCACGCTTTTCTTTATAGTAATTTAAATAGTAGTGTATAATTTATTTTCTACTTTTTAGTGCATCATTACATAAAAGCTTGTTATTAAAACGTTTTTTATGAATTTTTTTTCAGTACTTTACATGTTTTATTTACAATAGTGTTACATGACTAAAAACCATTGCGCGTCTATTGAACGTGATGGCGCAGCTATTAAACCTGATGGCGCAGCTATTGAACGTGATGACGCGTGTGGTGTGGTTGGATAGACATGCCTACTAATTCGGTCCGAATCTTAATTAATTCATAAAAAATTAATTAGGCATCCAATTAAGTCAAATTTATTTCAGATTGCATTGTCTTCATGTCTTGACCCACGTGTCAAATGTGAATCGTATCGGTCAAGTAGAAGTGTCCGAATTTTCACTCCTGCGTTTCGATCTAGACTGACGACAGACAGACTGTCGACTGACGACTGACGACAGAGGAAGCGAGTTAAATAAAAGCTTGTAAAAATATCATCTTTTACAAAAAATTCTAATTATGTCTGAAAATTATTTATATTTAGTCCTTTAGCACTTACTTCCCTTGGATAAATTAGGAAAACACAATTACTTCCCTTTATAAAACATTGCATTAGTGGAAAAGAATTTACTTTTTATTACTTTGTTTTGGTGTTGGAAAAAAAAATAATTACATAATTAGCTGGGATTGATCAAGTGCAAATGCTGTAGGTATTTTACGGATAAGCTTGGAGTATTATAATTGTTCATTAAATTGAAACAGACACGTCCGCCGGCGCCCCACCAGGGTTCAATTTGGCGACCTGGGCTATCCTGTGAGCGCTATGGTGCATAATTTCGCTTTAAACAGTGCGATAGAGTATGGATAAGTAAGGTTACTATAGACTTTAAGTGAATCGAATCCGGGCGTCCTCTGGCGCCCAGACAGGGTGCTATTTGGGTCCCCGGACCTCCCGTGTTCGGCTTGGCGCCTACGTTCGTTTAAGTGAGTGCAAAAGACTATGAATATGTCGGGGTACTATAGACGTTTATTAAGCTGAAACATGCGATTCCGCCCCGGGCTAGACAGTGAGCACTTTGCGTTTATGTTCGCGTTAGTGATTTCTTTGTGTTTAGGTTGGGTTTGCGTTAGCGGTTGCGTTTTGATTTGGTTCGTTTTTGTTCTTTCTTTTTTCGCTTTCGTTTGTGTTTTTTTCTTAGGGTTTGTGTTTGTATTTGTGTTTGTGGTTCGTTTTGCGTTTGGATTTGGTTTGTTTTCGTTTGCTTTTTCGTTTGTGTTTTTTTTTCTTTGGGTTTGTGTTTGTGGTTGGTTTTTCGTTTGGATTTGGTTTGTTTACGTTTGCTTTTTCGTTTTTTTTCTCTTTGTGTTCGTATTGGTGTTTGTGGTTGTGGTTGGGTTTGTTGTTAGGTTTTTGTTTTCGTTTGCTTTTTTGTTTGTTTTTTCTTTGTGTTTGTATTGGTGTTTGTGGTTGTGGTTGGGTTTGTTGTTAGGTTTTTGTTTTCGTTTGCATTTGTAATTGTGTTAGCGTTATGTTTGCGTTTTGTTGTTTTGTTTTGGTTGGTTGTGGTTTGGGTGGGCAATGCCGGGTTTATGATGATTACTAAACACACAGGTAATGGTCTTTAACAGAAAGGTTTTTCACAGAAGCCAGAGCAGGGCCTGGCCGGGACGGCTAGTAATTATATATCTTCAGAATATATTTTATTATTTAAAAAAAAAGTTTTCATCAAGATATCGCTGTTAATCTGTCGGCTGCTGTAAGCTTATTTGTCAACGCTGTGAGGGCTATCAACAATGCCTCCTAAATAAACCGGGAGTGATCTCCCCTAAACTTTCTCGAATATTTTTATAAAAAACAACAGGGGATGGGAACTCGGGATATAGTTATGATTAATCCATTTTAAATAGCCTACTTAAACTTTTATAAATAGAATAGAATCTCATAGAAAAAAGAATTGCGCACCAAGCGAACGTCGAATAAAGATGTGTATAATAGTGCAGAATATTATTAGTACTTTATAAATTCACATGCGTTTTTGGAGAAATCGGAAATAGTGAAAATTACTACTTCCGGTCAATGAAAATTACTCAAAATTTGATAGAAGGCAGAAAATTATATTTTTTACTTACATGTAAAATTTCATTTATCTATCTGAAATAGTACTCAAGTTATAGGCTTTTGAAAAATTCAAAGTAGAAAAAGTACCACTTCCGGTTATCGGAAATCACTCAAAAGCTAATAAGGATCTACGATTTTGATATGATACTTATATATGAACTTTCATCAATCTAGCTGTAACGGTACTCAAGTTATCGTGTTTACACACACACACACACACACACACACAGACACACACAGACACACAGACATACGGACAAGATTGCAAAACTATGTTTTTCCGACTCAGGGAGCCCTAAAACGTCGAGATTTGCAAAAATCTCGATTATTTATTTTGCACGATTACAACACTTTCTCTATACTTCGTATATACGAGAAAGTAAAAAGACCAATGTGGTAGAGCATATACAGTTTCTATAGCTCTGCATATACTAGACAATGCACAGTCTATGGAGCTATGAGCTTACCTAGCAGGGCAGGTATGTATCTAGAGATCTTTAATTAATATAAAGAAATATAAATTATAGATGATAATAGTTAACAATTTAAAGTAGACTCATAGTTGCAGACTGGGAATTACTTATGTAGTATGATTTTTTGTTAATTTTAGACAGATATAAGTTTCATTATTAAAAGGTCCTAAAATTTACAGAAATGATCA